GCGAGGAACACCAGGGTGCAAGAAAGTAAACCGATTGTAAGCCCGACGAAAGTGAGAGAATAATGCTCCATGGTCAATTTAATCTTTCTTTCACTCTTGTCCATCTTTCGCTTCTGCTCGGCCACGTAATACGGATAAGCCATGCGCTCGTACCACAGACGAACGAGACCAGCTTCCTGCATTCGTAGCAGTAATTCGTTGATTCTCTCTCGATACGGCGAGTGGAGCCTCATTACGTAGGACAACAAGTAAGTGGTCGGACATTCCTCGACTATGTGGAGCAGTTCGTTGCCGTCTACATCATAGTAGCTGGACATATCATTCAATTTGACTGACGCGTAACGACTGATGGCAATCGTTCTCCTGCCGAAGGCCACGACGTCGTAGGTAGACTCTTCAGAAACAAACACTTTGGTCTTACTCCGCAATTTGTTATCCAGAGTGGTATTCTCCGTGAACGTGTTCTCCTTCAAGTTGTAGTACTTGGTAATGATGGTGAGATTCGAGGAAGCGACATCCTCCAAAGTATTGAGCTCGGGATAATGAAAGGGATCGCTCAAGCTGGACATGAGGCAACTTTGATAGAGACCGGTGACAATGAGTCCGAAGAAAAGCGTGCCGATCAGCAGGGCTCTTTGAGCGGTCGTGCTACCGCCCGCGCCGGCCGCGCCGTCCTCCCTCAATGGGTAACACGAGGTTTCGATAAGATCGAAGCACGACGAAACGTAAGGATGCACTCTCGGCGGCGGTAGATCCGCGGCGGATCGCCGTGAAAGAACGTATTCTTCCGTCGTTCTCGCTAAGGGAAGGAGAACGGCCTTTTGCCGACGAAACGACATGCTGTAGTATTTGATGAGGAACCACAAAACGGACACGAGAATATTGTACACCGCGAGAGCAACCCACAGATTAGACGCGAATGACATTATTGGCATGTACGATTTCGGCACAAAATCGGCCGTGGGCGCGATCAAGCACAGCTTGTCTTCGTAAATGCTAGCTGTGAATTCATATTTTCGATATTCATCCTTATATCGTCGAATAAAGAAACTGGTGATGATTATCTCCGACTCACCATACTCGATGTATTGAAGAGCACGATGAAACGGATCTCCGTAATCTCCGTCGGTGGAGTTGACGATATGAAACACGTTGATACGAAACTGAGCTCCCATCGCTCGCTCCAACAACGACATCACGTTCGCGTCCAGTCTACTGAATCTGGAACTCTTGGTGCCTTCGTCGTGTGTAATCTCCATCATCAGAGACGGGAACACGACCACGCGTATAGGATACCCGTTCAAGTTGTCCTGCAAGTTGGCATAGAGTTCAACATTATCTTCCTGGTCCGCTATTAAGCAGACCTTACGTACAACGCCGTATTCGTCTCGCCGATTCTTTTCGAAAGGCAGATATTTACTGAGACATCGAAAGTCATCTTCTATCGAAATAATGGCAATCCTATAGACGCCGTAGATTTTCCAAACTGTCTGAAAAATCTCCCGCGGCGAAGTCGTGTTCGGAGTAGTGACAATTACTAGATATTGATTGATTGCCTTCCAAATATGGCTATGCTCGTGCACGAAAGAATTCAAAATATTTATACCATCGACGACGAAAATCCATGTAAGATCAACACGACTCTGCCACGTATACTTCCATGAGAAGTCGTTTGTCGTGATTTTGTAGGTAACGATAGATTCACTCGCTACGTACTTGGATAAAAGATCTACGAAACTAGATCGACCATCGGAAGAAACGAGAGAAACTATCGATGGATTATAGAATTTTTGCTTGCCTCGAACGTAATTCAAAATAATTCTCAAGTTTTCACTTTCCCTCGATCTTGACATGTAATTTTTTACGGTGATCTTGTATGTTTTATCTGCTGTAGTTTTCGCCGCTGTTAACGTTGACAACGACATCAATAAATAAATCGATATTGTCGGTGACATTATATGGCTGATGAAAGTCGTTTTTCAAAAGTCTCAAAATATATTGATGCGAACACGGTTGCACAGGATACACAATGCTTCGCAATGGTAAACGTTAGAAAGTAAGGCGCGAGTTTTATAAAGATACAGGTCGGCATACATAGTTAAAAAGCAGTACACACACACACACACACAAGCTTCAGTAGATGGAAATCGTGGACATGATCAAGAATTAATCGCGACACGAGAGCATCACGTTAATGTCACTTCAAGTAGTATTTTATTGCATTTTGACTCGTACATACGTATATACGTATATACCATGTACATCTACTAATGTACATACGTCGTGATTAGTATTCGATGTTTCGTGATCGCGTGCGAAATTGAGGGAAGGACGTATGTCGAAAAGAATTCGCTGCGATAGCGACCCAAAAAAGAACATTAAAGTGAAATTTATCATCATCACGAGAAATGATCGATAATGCTGAGAATTGACTGAGAATTCTTTCTAGGAAGAGCTCAAAATTTACCTACATCGCCTCTTTTTTTCTTCTACAGTCTCGTTCATTAAAAGCACGAATTTTTTGTCAAGAATCATTATATCGGGAAAAATCGATGTGAGTGATGAAATAGATTAAACATTCAAATATTTATCCTTTTTGTGTCCTAGCGAGAATTCTATTATTGGGATTCAGGATTCGACAGCGAATGTACATTTGCTTCTCTCCTTTGCAAAATATTAAAATAATATTATTACTATTGACTATTGCCGGATCAGTATATGATCCGGATGTGAGTTTAGACGTTGTCATGAAACAATTTAAAGCAAAAGAAATTTGTTATATATTGCTGATGAAAAATGAAGCAACGAAGAATAAGCAAAGAATAACCAGTACACGCGATTACGTCACATTTGCGCGCAACTCGCTTAGCATTTATCCCCTACTATAGAAACGTCGTCCTTCTATACCTTTTCTCGAGCTTGTTTACTTGGGACTAAATTGAACAAACGTTTACTTCCCTTCGCAAACGTCAAGTTTCCGCGACATGTCATTAAGTTAAAAGCTTAGTTATACGACGCAATGATTCTCACGAGCGCGTGCAAATCACCAATGCTATATAATTTCCATTGCGAACGAAAACGTTGTGTTTCCTATTCCATTTTTCCTATATAATTCCTCTTATTATTTCAAGGGAATAAAATCGCGGACTAAAAATGAAAAGAAATATAGGCAAATCATTATACTAATACAACTATTATACATAGGTATATAATACTATGTAACATTATACATATGCAATGAAAAATGTTTACATACGAATAAAAACAAAGTTTTACTTACATTTCTCATCATTATCTCATGCGCATCATATAAAACGTGTCTTTTTATACATATATATTAGTATAATGACTGCACTTTCACTTTCTTTAGCTTGGCAACGCCTAATTCTTCCTGCAATCGATTCTGTTGGAATAAGTTTGCACAAATAATATTTCAAATTGCGCGGGAATAATGCATATCACAAGCGTCTAACTAAGGATCTATTAAGAGTTTCTTGAAACGTTGGAAAAATCGATGAAATAATAAATAATAAGCCTGCGACAGGCAAGCACGCAGGCTTTATTTTTCTTGAACCTTATCCCCAATCTAAAGAGCGTAATGTATTCATGTCCCTTACAAGCATACAAGTTAAACCCTCGAGCGAACACGATCGAAGATAGACGCGTCCATGGTGATGTGTGTGACACGATAATCGAGGGAGAAACGGGAAAAAGAGTCAATAAGAGTAACGATAAGGATGAGTAATGTATACGATTTGACTGTATATAACTAACAGAAATATTTGTATGAGGAAAAACTTGAAGTGATCCGTCGTCAGTGTTAAATCGTACAAATATAAGGAAAGGGGGTGTCGCGCGCGTGCCGCGTTTCTTAAACGCGCGGTTTATTCGCAAAAACATGGTAAGTCGACATATCCTTAATTATTCCTTAATTATTACGATAAAAGCGAAATTCTCTCTTGTCACTTATAAATTTAATTGACTCTTAATTATCTGCAGCAGATGATTCGTGAATTTACTCTCGTGGCGGTATTCGCTCTTCTGCATACTGCAGTCACATCAAACGACGATTGCATAACGCGATGGCATAACGCTATAGAATTTTGGAGTAATGTCGTTTGCTCGATGGAAGATATGAAAAACGTGAATTTTCACGGTGTCCTCGAGAGTAATAGTAATAGTAGGAGCTCTATTTTCCTCGAGCAATATTTCCAGGCTTTCGTGCATGATATCGCGCGTAAATGTGAGACAACGATTGCGTCGAGGATTTATACGCTTCGCGACTCGGAAAATCTTGCATCTTTCGTGAGTAACAATAACAAAGTGGCTCATCACGGAACCGTGAAACGGGCATCGCTCTGGAAGATTACATCCGGCGCACTTCCTTCTCGAGTAATACAGCTATCGAGTAATGTAGCTGCAGGAAGGATTCGAAGGATACGAAGCGACAAAACCTTTAGTAGAAACACGTGGAACGTGCACGTAATTCTCGCGAAAGACATACACTCCTTCGATCAAATTTCGAAGAATGGTGTGACATTCGAGTGGAATTCGCACGATCGATTTATCGTGCTGATCGCTCGCTTCCCAGAGGAACATGGATTATCAAACGTGGATGAATCAAATTCAAGAATCGACGGTATCTTGAAGACGTTGTGGTCCGAACGTAAAGTGCAAAAGATTTTTGTCTCCGAGGCGATCCTCATAAACAACACCGTTCGAATTAATCAAATTGTTCGCACTTACAATCCATTTGCCAAAGTCAACGATTCCGGTTCGTTCTCTTTCTAAAAGATTTCTAAAAGATTTCTCTTTCTATAGCGTAAGACTAAAAACTATATCGACTATATAAATGATTGGTGAAATGATTTGATACAAAATCTGCATTCTATCCTGCATCCGTACTTTCTATATACGTACAATGTAACAGAAAGATGATAATAATAAATATTTAGCACATCTGCTTGATTTTGCAGTGTGGGGTCAAGTCGAAATTGTAAATGTAAAGACAGCGGAAGAAGCGTCAAACGTGCTGTCGTATTTAACATATCGCCGCACGAAAAATATGAATGGATATGAATTAAAAGTGGGCTATTTTAAGCAAGGCCAAACAATCGCAAAACCGATAACAGTTCAATCATCGAGTACACATTACGATTATGCCGATGTCTTTAAAGGATTTGATGAGATAATGCTAAATACAATAGCTCGAGACATGAATTTTCAAGTGGAACATATACATCCGACGGATAATAAATCGTATGGCCATCAATTGTCTAATGGGACATATGTCGGTGCTATAGGTATATACTTACATAACGATATTTGAAACTATTCGCGACATAAAGTTCTTGTTGTTTTTGTTTCCGTCTTTTTTCCGAATATCCGATAATACACAGCCAGCTTATACAGGCGACGTAGTGCACGGTAGAACGGACATCTGCTTCGTATCTTTCTTCGTAAAGAAATACACAACAAGTCTTAAGGAAGACGTAGACTTTAGCACATACGTGGACTTTGACAGACTATGCGTGGCTGTCCCTAAAGCAACCAAGATACCCAAAGGGATTCGAATATATCACTTCTTTCCGCTCTCCATTTGGATCTGTTCGATGCTAACGCACGTTTTCACATATCTAATATGGTATTTTCTGCAAGTCTTTACTCCAGGAAGGTACAGTACTCGTATCTATAGCGATCAATGTTAGCGATATGCGAATTATTTCACTGTCTGAATGAATGAATGAATGAATGAAAGATAACATTCTTTCAGGACGGGAAAGAGAAGTTTCCGAGCAACAATCTATCGATCATTTTTACTGAACGCTGGTTGCCCTCAAAAATTGCCAAACACGAACGCAGAAAGGATATTACTGTCAGGCATTCTTCTTGCTAACGTCACTTTAGTTGGAATCTTTAGCGGTATTCTGTACAACAGTTTCGCACGCGACATGTATTATCCAGATATTGACACTCTTCGCGATCTCGACGCTTCAGGATTACCGATATCTTTGGCTTCTGCTAGCCTGGCCGATCTTTTCGATGATGATGATGATGATGATGACAATGTTGATTCGATACTCACGCAAAACTTGCGAAAGAAGATGCAATTCGGTATAAATGCCATAACCAACACGGCTCGTCATCGTAACGTCTCAGCATTCGCCAGGGAACGTTATTTCCCAATTATCAGCGAGGAATTGATCGATGCGGACGGTGGGCCGTTGCTTCATCTTGTTGAGGAATGCCCTGGTACGAAAAATATAGTACTTACGTTAATACTCGTATTAAGGAATAATTCTTATTATTATTATACGCAGGTATGTATAATAAGTAATTAATATTATATGTGTATATGTATCCTAGGTAAATTCTACTTGTCGTATTTGCTGCCCAAGAATTCGATTTTCAATGAAAAGATAAACGCATTAATCAGTCAACTGAATCAGGCCGGTTTACCATCGTTATGGAACCAACACATCGTTCATGCCTTCATCGTTCAAAAAAGATTATTGGCTAAGGAAAGATTAGTTCGAAACGAAAAAAAAATGGACGACTTCGTGCCGTTTAATTTATCCGATATGCAATCATCCTTCTATATGCTACTGATAGGATTATCAATAGCCACGATAGTATTTTTTCACGAGAAGGGTTGGCTGAAAGTTATTCCGCCATTATTGTACACTGAAAAACCAAACGTAGACTGTAAATCTACACGATAATTATATCGAATACAGCGTCCTTGTTTTCAACCTTTTGCACCTTTGTCAGGATTTTTTTTTTTTTTTCTAAAGTCAGAGTTGCTGGCAATACGCACACGCACACGCACACAAGCAAACGGAACTGATTTATATATCTCCGCAGACAGAGTTATAAATGAGAAGTTATAAATGAAAGATTTTTCTCTTAATTTTTTTTTTTTTGCGCTTCCACTTTTTTCCGTCATTATTCTCAACGTTCCAATTCCTTCGAATTAGATCAATCGACTTATTTAATCAATCTATTTATTGTAGCAAACTGTTAGCAACAAATTTAGAGTAGCAACCTCCTGATTCAAACAGTTTCATCTTCATTTGAAAGAAAAAAACGAAATAAAAATTGACGTTACCGTTAATATTTTTATACTTGTAACAATTATTGAGAGAAAATTAAGATATAAATGAAAATGTATAAATCGAATGCAATCTACAAGTAATAGATTGTAAAAAAGAAATCAGCAAAGTATCACGAAAGGAAGAAAAAAAAGTACATATATCCTAACTTAACATTATAGTTATCCTTAATCATATTAATACTTGATAACGAGTGACTCGAGCGGAAGGAGCACACTTGTTTCGAATATACACGTGCGAATACGCACGCACACATCATTGCAGACGTGTTCTGCGCGCAGACTCTTTTAGAAGAGGAAAACGTCGAGAAGGAGTGAAGGATATACAGTTCGCGAATTTTCGCCGCAGTAGCACGGATATATCCAGCTGACAGTGAGTCTACTGGTGGTGTGTACTCTATTACGGTAACCTGTTGCCGAAGTAAATCCTGGAAGTTGGATGCTAGTACCACGCAATGCCGCGATACAAATTATTCAATCAACACTACATGTGTAAATGTGCGCTGGTGTGCATGTATACAGGACAATCTGAGTAATTTGCGTTCTACGAAAATACGTTATGCGAAATATACACACATATTCTCGGCCGAGACAGACGTACGTGTGGTATCGTTACCCAAATTCTGATATGCAAAAGTTGATGAATGCAAATCGCAATCGTTATTTTTGATGGTAAAACACAATTATAAACGCGAATTAGAGACGTTACTCGTGATACATGTGAAATTATAATACGTTGATGGATCGACAATAATACTACACGTCGCAGCAACATATCAAAGATAAATGCGAGTGTACTTCTTTTTTTTTTTGTACTCGCTGTGAAAATATATAAATATTGTAGAATATCGCGACGCAGGATCGTTGTGCCCAAGGAGGAGAGAGCGCTTGTTCGCAAACAAATCGCGGTACCGAATGTACTGAAATATATTCCCGAGATTTGTACTGAGATCCGACTGAGATTCCGAAAAAGATGTCGATTATGCATCATTTGCAGAATTACACAGACATTTTCCATAGGCTGAATATAACCGATGAGGACATTGACTATGTTAACAGTCTCGGTATTGACAGTTGGGCCGACGGTCGTAGCGAAAACAGATTTGGGAGTCGTGCAGGTGTCGCCGACCAAGACCAAGTCTCCATTCGAGATAGGAGCGATCGTACAGATAGTGAAACGATACAGCTGACATCCTCGTGTTACTGCGACAGTGTGATTCGCGATCTAGCGACGCAATATAAAAATTATCACGGTTACGCTTCTCTTGTCGTATGTTCTTTCGGCACGTTCACTAATATGCTAAATATCATCGTACTTACGAGGCAAGATACAAAGACGGCGCCCATAAATCGCATTCTTACGGGGCTAGCTACGGCCGATGTGTTGGTGATGTTGGAATATATTCCTTTTGCAATTTACAAGTATCTAGTACTACCAGAATCCAGAATATTTCCGTACGGATGGGCCGTATTCGTACTATTCCATATGCATTTCACGCAGCTTTTTCATACAATCAGTATCGCCCTTACGCTCACTTTAGCCGTTTGGAGGTACATTGCTATCAGGTATATAAGTTTGCTGATGCTTTTTGGCTGTAATGGAATGCAAAAAGATTTTCAAGTTATTTGTTATTTTTTCTGTATGTGCCAGATTCCCGCAGTATAGTCATACTTGGTGTACCGGGAGGCGTTGTACGATCGCTCTTTCCTGCAGTTTTCTCGCTCCATTTCTCACGTGCGCTCCGAGCTACCTCGTATTTGGAGTAAGTAGAGTAGTATATATTCACTCTTGATTCACGTAATCTCCGTCCTCTTCGTCCAGAGCGCCGCGTTTACGATAAAAATTAAAATTTATTGCGCCAGATAAAGGCGCAAACTGTTGACGAGAATGGTATCACGGAAGTATTGTATCACGTAGATACCAATTATTCGATCGATAAAGGCTTTCTGTATCAATTAAATTTTTGGACACTCGGCGTAGTCGTTAAGCTTCTACCATGCGTCCTTCTCACCGTCATCATCTGTTGGTTAATAAAAGTCCTTTACAGGTAAAATGAAATAAAATAAGAAATAGAAAACGATTTATTTTCACTTATCTGTCGTACGTACATACGTTACTCGTTCGCATTACTCGTAATATCTGTAGTATTTCTACTATTGCAATATTCGCCAATTTCGCTCTTCATTTAGGACGAAAGATAGGAAACAGATTTTGAAGAGCTACAGTTATTCTGCTACTATTACCGTCAAGCCAACCTCATCGTCGGGAATCTCGGATCTCGAGAATTGCAGTGGTCTTGCATTTGACAATAAAAGGGATGGATATCCGCGGAGAACGAATAAATCTGACAAACAAACAGATAGAACAACGAGGATGCTTGTAGTGGTACTGTTGCTGTTCCTGATAACGGAGATTCCTCAAGGCATCCTAGGTTTGCTTTCCGCAGCTCTGGGCGATTGTTTCTTTCGTAATTGTTACCACAAATTCGGAGAGCTAATGGATATTTTAGCGCTATTAAATGGCAGCATTAACTTTATCTTATATTGCTCTATGTCACGACAATTTCGTATGATCTTTGGGCAGTTGTTCAAACCCAGAATTATGAACAACTGGCCAGTGACAAATCAGCATCAAACCGATGTACAAAGCACGTATGTTTAACAAAAGTTTGCAAAAGTTTGCAATTTTTCTGAAATGTAATTCTCGAAATATTCTTGTTTCGTAGAGTATTCAAACGTAGAATTTACAATTTATATATAAATATATATATATATATATATATATATATATATATATACCTATTATGCAAAATATCTACAATATATACATTATAAACGAAATGGTATTATGGCGCATAAAAAATAAAATGATCTTGTATCTATCCTATTCTCGCATTAAAGAGAAAAGACTTTAAACAAAAGTCGAGATATGTTGCAATATTATGGGATCATTGATAATAATGTCAATAGAATTGAAATATGTTTATGCGTAAACGCACACATAACACGCACAATTTTTTAATTCAATAATCTCTATATACATAAGATATGTTTCTTTTCACACGCGTGCAATCAGCTTTTTTGTATTTGATTTTGTAATTTCAATCCATTATATTAAATTCTAGATGTTTTGAAGACAAATAATAAATAAAATCTAGATCTTTTTGAAACAAATAATAAATAAATGTAACATATGTTAATTTCGTATCTTACTTGTGTAAAAACTCTCTCTCTCTCTCTCGTTCTCTCTCTAATAAAAATGTGTAATACTTCCACAGATTATTTCCTTTTTTATTCCTTTCCCTAAATCTCTGCGAATAACACGAATAATTATTGCGCAACGAATGACATGATTTTTAAACTTCATCAGCGCTTAATTGTCGTTTTTCATACTCGTCCGTTAGCATTTCTTGACTGGTGTTTGATTCCGTTTTCTCGCGTTGTAATCTTTTTGATAACTTCTTTGCCATTTGCGATATCTATATGTCGTGATATATGAATGTATAATTACAGTGTGTATATAATTAATATATTTTACACGCTCGAGAAATAACGTATGATTTTTTCTTAAATTACCTGCGCATCAACCTCAACGACTGCCATCATATCGTTGAGCGCTGTTAAAATTTCAGTGGCATTAGCTTGTTTGTCGCGAGCATCGAGTACCACAGCATAATTAATCAATATTAACGGATCCTGAGGAGCTAATGCGTGTGCTTTTGTCAATGATCTTTCAGCACCTTCCAGATCATCCAAACGTTTTAGAGCCACTGAGACAAAAATATACAGACGTTCTTTTTTACCATGATAAATACACACATGTGAAAGGAACTTTTTCAAACAAAATATATTCTATTGACAATAAAAAAACTCCGGCGTAAAGTCTTTTTGTCTTATTCTACTTTCGCTAATCGCTAAATTAGATATGTACTCTTATACACATATATGTATGTATGGCAACTCTTTATACAAAGTTACAAACTCACTAAAGACTTAAATTTATTTTTTTACTCACAACCCAATAACAGATATGGCATTGGATTTTTTGGTTCAGCGCTGACTGCAGCACATAGATAAATCGCAGCTGATGCAGGCTGTCCAGTGGTGAGAAAAACGATCCCTAGATTACACGATGGGACGCAGGACATCGGGCTCAAATAATGTGCTCGTTTCAACGAGCTGATAGCCTGTGAAATATTGCAAAGAATATTTTGATTTTGCATACAGTCTTTGGCATAATCTTCTCGATAATAATCCAAATGGTTTCCTTTCTTATTGCATCGTTTCAAGTAGAGCGCGATTCACGTAGCAATGCGGATTCAATTTAAGAATTTAAAAAAATCATCATATTAAATTATATTATATTATATTAAAATACCGCATCGTACGGAAGTACGAAATGCTGTTTTTGATCTATATTATTAATACATATTAATAATAAAAACTCAAAATTTTTTTCACAAAATCATAAAACAAAATTTGTGAATTAATTGTAAGCGAAATATTCCTCTGTTATCCCGCGAAACAACATTGCTTTTCGACACTATTATATATTCTCGACGCCATCTAAAGCATTTTCGAAATACAAGAATATGGAATATCACATCAACATATTATACAACGCAATACCACGTATAACTGTATCTCATTTCCCAGAGATTTATATTCGCAAGGGATTTCCTCTTTAGAACTGACTCGACTACGAGGCAAACACGCGCTACTGTTTTATAAATAAATTGCAAAATCCCGTTTTCCACGTACAGCATTCGATTAAATCGTAGTATCATGTGAGGCGCAATGCAAAACGATACAGTGCGATACTCCTCTATATCAAAGCGCTGATATCTGGTGTATGAATACCGGACTACAAGCTTTTTAACAATCAGATCAAATGCGAAATGTTATCACGTTACATGCGTCGTTCATTTGAGTAACAATAACTTGCTAGCGGAAAAATATACGAAAAATTATATTCTTTCTCTCTTCTTTACATATGTTAATATTATAGAGCATACTATCTAAAGAATCCTATATTAAAATTGGCGTGTTATCGGCGTTTGAAGCCTCTTTTCCCCTTTAATGTTTAAAAATTCATATCTTCCAGAAAAATAAAGATATAGACTTTGTTCTGTGCTCATCTTGAGCGG